CCTCCCCCTCTTCCTCCCCCTCCCCATTCCTCTCGATCCTAACCACTCCCTCCCCAGCCGCCGCCCCCTGGTCCCCATGTCCTTCTTCGATGTGTCCCCCATCGCGGCCGCGGCCAACCCGGCACAGCCGATCCCGGTCCTCTATCCGATCGAGATCTATGGCATCGTTGGCCTCCCGCTGCTGATCGCCTGCTATGTGTGGTTCCTGGCACGCAGTCACACCGAGCCCATCATGACTCGTGGGCGTCTGCTCACGTCTCTCTCCTTCTGGGCAATTATCATCCACCAGACGGTCCTCATCCTGTCCTCGCCCAACTTCGGCCGGGACTTCACCTGTTTCCCGGCCATCATCTCCGGCTCGCTTTTCATGAATACCTGGCTGCTGGTGCGTGCTCGGCCCTGCTCCCCCCCCCCCCTCTCCCCCTCTCCCCCTCTTCACTCTCCTGGCTCTCCCTTTCTCCTCTCCTCAATGCACGGCGCCACGCAATCGGCCCATGCTCACCGATCAGGTCCCCCACCCCCTGACAACTGACCTGGCTACTCCACCGCGCCCGCGCTGGCCTCCATCCCCTCCTTCAGCCGCTCATCTTCCGCGGTTACATTGCCTACTTCAACTACGTGCATCATGCCGGTGCACTCAAGGACACGGTGATGCGCATCCACGGGTCCAGCTCCTCGGATTTCATGTCCACCGATGACAGCGACGATGGGCTCCTCTCCGACACGAGCACCGGCGGCAGTGGTCTGCGTGCGCGCCGGTCTGGCTCTTCGATCGACACCAACAATGCCCTGGCAAATGCGGCCCTCACGGCGGCCGGGCCATTCGACTCCGTTTCGCCGGAGGTCTTCGACGCGGTCATGCGCCACCACAGCGAGAAGGCCAGCTCCTCCGAGTTCCCCCCGGCCCCGGCTCCCTTCGAGGGCGATGCCGAGGCTGCCGCCGGTGCCAGCAGCGCCGCCGAGGCCCAGCAGGTGGTCGCCGGGCGCAAGGCATCCCGCAAGCAGGCCGACCTGTCGCGCTACTACCGCTTCCTCCGGCTGATTGCCCTCCGCCGGAACCAGATCATCATCTACTGCACGGTCAACGTCCTGTATCTGGGCATCGCGGCCCTGATGGTTACCTTGTGCGTCATTTATCACGACCATTTCCTTTCTCCTCCTCCTCCGACCCTCCTCCCCCATCCGATGCTCTTTCCGCGCCCCGCCCCGTCGATTGCGCCTTCTCACATGCCAATCCGCCGGTCTGCATGGTCTACCTCCCTCCCCCCGCTGTCGTCCAGCTCCGCCAATGGCTGGAATGACTTCTCATCTGGCAACGGTCTCTGCGCCTTCCAGGTTCGCTTCTTCATCATGATCCAGGCCCTGATCTATGTGGCCATCACCATCCACCTGTCTTTCCTGCTGCGTGGTGTGAATGATACTTTCATGATTCAGAACGAGCTCACTGTACGTGTGTTGGGCTGTCCTCCTCCCCGCCCCGTTCTCGCCCTTCATGTCCTGTGGCGGCCCCCCCCCCCCCAAATCCCGGAGGACTACCATGTTTTTGAGAAGGGCCCCGATGCGACTTCTTTCTCTCTTCCCCCCCTCTCCCCCCCCCTAACGCTTTTTTCTCCTCCTCTCCCTGAACACGCATGGGCGTCGCGCTGTTTCTCCCCCCTCCCCCCTCTCCGCTCAAAACACTGGCGCCCATGCCACCACGCACCACCAACACCAATGATGATGGTGAATGCCGGCCATGTTGACAGATCCAGATGGCCGTCTCCTTCAGCCTCGGGATTGTGTGGATCATTGTCGTCTTTTTGGCGCGCCAGCTCTACCCCTTCGGCCCGGACCATGTCATCATCACCCTCTCGTCGGTCTGCTGCCTGATTATCACCGTCTACCCCCTCTACCTGTCCTACACCCCCTTCTTCAAGTCCCTCACGTGCGTCTTTCTGGCATCGTGCAACTCGGCCGCGCGGGGGGGGGGGGGGGGCCTTGGTCGGGTGGGCAGGCCCGACAGCGTGCCGCGCCCCCCCTTTCGCGCGGGGCGGCTACACCCTCCCCCCTCCCCCTCTCTCTCTCTTGGCCTGTTGCGAACATGTTTTCCTTCATGCATCTTCCGATGGCTGACCCCCCCTGCTCCCGCTCTTTCTCTCTCTCTCCCTCTCCCTCTCCCTCTCCCCATACGACAGCCGCCAGCGCCTTGCCCTGCGCCGCGGCGCCAGCACCGGTGGATCCGGCTCCTTCGACTCCAGCTTCGATCACCTCCCCGCGCAGGCTACCCAGAACGAAGAGCTGAAGGCCATCCGCGGCTTGAACCAGGATGACATGGCCCTCATGAATGACAAGGAGAACAAGAGCACCTCGGTTCGCGTGACCGACTCCAAGATCACCTCGGTCGGGGACCTGCTCGGGTATGAGCACATGCTCCGCCTGCGCAACCCCAAGCTCCGGAATGCCTTCGCCAAGTTCTGCGTCTCCTCCTGGTGTGGTGAGATCCCCCTGTTCCATGCCCGTGCTCGGCGTTTCGAGTCCCGCTGGGACAAGCGCCTCCTGAGCGATCGTCTCGAGGATGCGATGGAGATTCGCAAGCTCTTCCTCGACCCGAACTCCCAGTACGAGATCAACATTTCCGGCTCCGTCAGCCGGGAAATCCTCCGCGCGCTGGATGCCTGTGTGGCCGCCTTCGACCGGGGGAAGCTCTCCTCCATCAACATCACCTCCGACGGGGTCCTTGTCTATGAGAACACCCGGCCGACGGGCAAGCAGTCGTCGGATTCCCTGCCCGGGGCTACTTCCTCCGGCAGCGCCGCCGGCCCGGTCGCCGACATGGTGTACCTCCGTCGGGATATCTTCCTCAAGGCCGAGCGCGAGATTGTCGACCAGCTGGATCGCATGCTGGCCACTTGGAAGATCTCCCCCGAGGGCCAGACCAAGATCGCCCTCGCGCTCAACCTCAACCCCACCGGCGATGCGACGTCCGCCGGTCATGAGATGAATGTCCTGACCCCGCGCCGGAGCTCGCGCTCTCGCCGCAAGGAGTCTCTCTCGGCCGACGGCGACAGCGACGCCACCGCATCCAAGTCCGCCGATTTGGCTGCCTCTTCCGCCAGCCCCGGCGCCACCGTGTCTTCGCCCTCGCCCGCTTCCTCGCCGGATGCCAGTGTCAATGACAGCCCGGCGGTTTCGGCCGACAAGGATGCGGCCCTGGTTTCGACCCTCACCGGTGGCAATGATGCCGCCGTTGCCGTCAGCCTGGATTTCAACATGGAGCCGGTTTCGCCCAACAGCGGTGCCGCCTCCACGGCCGCCTCTCTCGGCGTTGTCATGGCCAAGCCCAGCGACAAGGAGGGCGCCTCGGATGACGGGTCGTCCATCCGGTCGAACGCCTCGTCCAGCGCCTCTTCAGCCGCGTCCGATTGAGTGTCAGCCCATTTCCATGCGCCGCCCAATCGCCGGTGCACTTGTCGTCTCCCCGGCCTCCTCCCTCTCTTTCTTCCTCTGTCTTCCCCTCTCCACTTCTCCCTCCTTGCTGTGTGTCAGTCCGGGGAAGAGAACCGACGACAGTCGCTGCGCATGGATGAGCCAGCGCGCGCGGCCTGTGCCCTGTGCATGGCATTGCTCTGGCGGCCCCTCCTCCGCTCCATCTGTCCATCTCTTCTCGCCCTCTTCCTCCCTCCACTTTCCTTAGATCCCTGGTGGAGGGAGGTATGCGAGAGCGAGAGGGAGCTCCCTGTTCCCCCTTACCTACCTACCTGCTGCCTGTCGCAGGGGCGCCATCGTGTGATCCTCAACCCAATTTTGTCCTCCTTCTTCTCTCCTCCTCCCCTACTCAATGTCCCTTGTCCTTGAGCCAGAGAAAATCATTCCTCCCCCTCCCTCTCACCCCCTTTCCCTCATTTTTTTTTTTTTGCTGCTCGCCTTTCCGTGCACTTGTCGCAGGGGTGGCCATCTGCCACTTGCGCGTCCTACACCCGCGGCATCACGCGTCCTCCACACGCGCAAGGAGGGAAGGGGCGGGGGAGGGGGGGGGGGCCGTTGGTGGCCGCCGGGTCAAACGCGTGTGCACACGCCCGGCTGCATGAGGGCGAGAGAGTGAGGGAGTCATCCGGGCCCGTGCGTCGCGCACACCCGGTGCTCACGAGTGGCAGAGACGAGCCCGCGCCCGAGTGCTCACACACTCTCTCTCTCCCCCACCCTCCCTCCCTCTCTTTGTTTCTCTCTCTCTCTCTCTCTCTCTCCCTTACCCCCTACATACATTCAAACATGCGTATGTGCCTTTGCCATGCGTCATGTTGCCCTTGTCCCTTCTCAATATAGTTTCTTCGCAAACGCACCTACTCTTCTTCTTCCTCTGCGGCCATTTAAATTGGTGGGTCGTTTTTTTCTCCACACCATTGAGGGGGGATCGAGAAAAGAGGCCATAGCCGGCTTCCTGACCGACGGCATGGGCGGGGGAGGGATCAAGTGTCCAGTCGCGAGGCGGACAGGGGCCCGGGGGCATAGCGCCAAGGCGCCAGCTCTCTCCGGCAAGTGTATTCCAAATAGGAGTGGGAGGAGACTCAGGCATTGGCATTCTTGACAAAGGGTAGGGGGAGGAAGGAAATGGGAGCTCGTCAAGGGGGTCACAGCCCGTCCTCCCTTCAAGGACAGCCCTTGCACAGGGACACAGGGCATTGGATGACGGGGCACCTGCATATGGATGTGCCCTCAGACCCGGGACCACAGGCACCGAGGCTGCTTGGCCAGGTGGCGCGCCCGCTCCAGCACCGCGGGATTGGCTTCGCCATAGCGCCGGGCGATCAAATGGTCCAGGGACAGCCACCGAGCCGATCGTGCCACAAGGGACTTGAAGTCCAAATCCGCCACTACCATGCCAGGCATGCCGACAGCAGAAGAGAGCAAATGCGTGGGAGGGGGTCAAAAGACAGCGGACACGGTGGCACGGGGGCAGAGGCGGCAGGAGGGAGGAAAGCAGGACAGGGAGAGAGAGAGAGAGAGAGAGAGAGAGAAAAGCACGGAATCAAGCCGGGCAAAGAGCGGGGGACAAACAAAAGGGGATCACAAGGAGGGCAGGCGTGCCACGAGTGGGATTGTGTCGTGGTCGCACCTTGCACACGCCAGACCACTTCCCGTCCGTCTGGCAGGGGGAGGACACCACTGGAGGCACCCGTGCAGGGGGGAGATTCCTCGGCCCCGCTACGGGGAGCAGAGCAGCAGCGAACCTGGAAGGTGACATACACCGAGCAATCCTTGAGGGTGGCCGCGCAAGTGAGCTTCCGCAGATAGCGAATGCGATCCCCCAGCAGGTCCGCAACCGTCAGGGACCGAGCAAAGTCCACGGCCACCGGCGATGGGGCTCCTGCAAGGGTGTCGGCCAGCAGGAGGTGTGTGATATCCTCGAGTACATCGCGGCGCCACTCGGCCATGGAGTGGGCTTGGCCGCTGTCACCCTCCTTGGCGAGAGCCGGCAACGCCAGAGCCGCCGCAAGAGAGTCAAGGTCCTGGCCACATAGCGGCGCCTTCAACACAGGCAGCGGCTGCGATAGCCGGCTCAAGTCGAAGGGGGCAGACGGCTGCGCGGGCGCCAGCGACATGAGGGCCCCAATGGTGCGTTCAAACAGTTCCGGACACAGCTCCAGGGCACCCTCAATGTCGATCACGTCTGTGATTCCCGGCCCCGGACAAAGGTCAGCATGGGTAGCGTGGCGCAGAGGTCTATGCTTCCATGGCAGAGGCTTTTATGTCTGTCGTTGGCCCCCCCCCCCCCCCAGCCCCCCCGCCACCGCCACTGGCACTGCCGGCAATCATCACACCGTCAGCAGAGGCAACGCACCAGTCAGAAACTGTGCCTGTGCCAGGCGGAACATCAGGTCGCACGGATGGTGGGCCATGGCGTTGGAGTCCTGGCGAAAGGCCAGGATCCTGGCCACTATCCCCAGCGCAGCGGCCAAGTCAAGGCCAGTGTCAAGTTCGGCAGAGTCCAGATCCCCGAGAGGGCGTTGGTCCCCATCAATGAACAGGCGCAAATTGTTTCGCGGTGCCCGTGCAATGTCCAACAGGGCTTATACCCGGAGAAGCGAAGTGTCAGGACGGGGCGGTAGACGGGCAAGGACAGGATGCGAAATAGGCGATGTTTGTGCTTATGAGTGTGTGTGTGTGTGTGTGTGTGTGTGTGTGTGTGTGTGAATGGGTGCAGATGCGCCCGGAATGGCCTCAGCCCACGCACTAGCATGAATGTGTGCCTCATTGCCGGAGAAGAGATCCGTCCCGCAGTAGTCGCCAAGGCCTTCACCTGGAAGATCAGGCCCGGGCCCAGCCTTGGCCTTCAGATTCCGATGCATGCAGCCGCGACACACGCGTGATTTTAGCAGCCGCCGCTGCTCCCGAATTGGGGCCGGCTCCTCGAGGACACTCGCGGAGAGAGTGCCGGCCGCCGCGCTCGCCACAAACGGCGAGGCCGGCATGAAGCCCCACTTGGGCTGATGGCCGAAGAGGGCGAGCAGGAGCGTCAGGCGCAATTCCCCAATCCCCCTTCGGACAGGGAGGCAGATCGAAGCCGGGAAAGCGAAGAGCACGGAGGCAAGAGGCCAAGGAGAGCAGTCATACCTTGACTTCGAAGGCCAGGGTGCTCCCCCCGCCAGGGCAGCAGGAATCCGGCAGCAGCGTCAAGTCATCATACAGGGTGGCCATGGTAACCGACGACAGGCCGCACGGGCCGAGATCCGGGTCATCATCGCCAGGCAGCTCAAGGGGGTTGATCCCCGGGGGAAGGGTCGACCCGGACAACCGCGCGGCGGGCCTCAGTGGACGGATGGCGGCGGCCACTTGCCGGCGGAACTCGGGTGTCGTGCGAATGGGAACCTGGATGACCAGTTAGTTTGAGAGAACGCCGGTTGTGCGACCGGGAGATGGGAGTGCGTGGGCCGAGAGGGGCGAAAGAGAAGGAGAAGTGAGCGGGAAGAGGCGCGGAAATGGGGTGGTGGGGGAGAGGGGGGATCATCTTTTTCGCCATACACTCTGCTGGATGTATTGGGCTCCGATGAGCGGTGCAATGATTTCCCCGACAAATGCCAGCTTCTGCAAGTCGCGTGCTTCTTGGCCAGGATTGGCGCTGCCTGGATGGTCGGCGGCCCGCTTGGGCAAGCGCAAGACCTTGCCAGCCTGGGGACAAAGACAGCAAAAGGGTGACGGGACGCATGTCAGGGATGGGTGACGCACGCGCATGTATGTGCGTGTGTGTGGAGGAGAGAGGGAAAGGGGAGGGGAGCGACAGGATGCCAGCAAGCGGACGGGGGGTGTGCTGTGTGGCGAAAGCCGGGAAAATGGACATACGAACGAGGCAAATGGCCCGACATCCGGGGACGCCGTGAAGGCTAAGGCCACATGAGCTGCACCCTCGCCGACATAGCGCCAGAGATGAGCCGGAGGGAGATCGCTGGGGGCGGAGGCAGGGCCGGGAGCGCCGCCGGGCATTCCAACCAGAGATGGGCACGTGTGCGTGTGTGCGACCGGGAGTGCGTGCGTGCGTGCGTGCGTGCGCGCGGGAGGGTATGGACGTATATCCGGCTGTTTGTATGTGCGCGTGTGTGTGTGGGGGGGGGGGGAGGGGCAGGGAAGCAAACGGGGCCAAGCAGTGTCGAGGAGGAGGGAGTTCAGATGTCAGCCCCACTCCAAGGGGAGGCGGTGGGTAGCCGCTCGATAAGGCCCCACGGATGGGGGACGCGCAGCTCGCTAGGGGGGGGGGGGGGGCAATCCGCCGAGGATGGTCCGCCAAGCGATCTAGCGCCACCCGACCGGCGAACGGGTCACATCCCCCCATGCGCGCCCTGGCCGCCCAGTGCTTTTTGTGGATGAGAGGAGGAAGGGACGCTCGTCCCGATGGGCCCGGGGGAGGAGACACATGCCCGTCTAGAACGAAAAATCGCGAAGAAGAAAGGGCACCCCTCCCCCGGGCGTTGGTTGCTGCACTCTGGTGCCCCAGGGCAAAGGAGGTATCTTCTTCTGTTCCCTTGGAGGGAAGCTAGGGGCTGCCAAGGCTTCGCACATGCTCCGGGGGTCTCCCCCGGGGGACGCGGGCCGCTGGTCCCAAGGTCTGTCCCCTTGCGAGAGGCCGGAAAGACCCGATCTCGATTTCAAACTGGGCCAAATGCTTATCAGATCACGGGAGATCTAATCACCCCCTTAATTTTATCGTCGCGCCATTTTAACCGGGAGCGGAGGGCCAGCCCGATGTGTGTGCGGCTATTTCAGAGCCCACGATCATCCGTGCCTCACTCGGTCCCTGCCCGCCGATCTCCCATCGCCACACCCACGCGGTGCCCCTCCCCTCACCTCCTCGCCATCTGCCCATTTTGCCTCTGACTTCTCCCCCAGGCTCGGAGGCTCCCATCATCCCAAGTGCCCCCCTTGCTACTCCCACCCGGCGACATGGGTCAGGCTTTCCAAACAAAGACGAACTAAGAAAAAGCCACCCCTCTCCCCGGTAATCCTCGCTGAGTGATCTGCCCGCCGCGCCTGCCATTCGGAGGCTAAGCCCGGCCCAAACGGTCTCGAAAGCCAAGTCGCGTGTGCGAAGCAGACGGCCGTCGGACATCCCACCGGGCGACTGCCCAGCATAAGTCACCATGAGCTCCCTTCGGCGGAGAATCCAAACACTCCGGGTGCGCCATCCCCCCCCCCCCCCCCCCTCTACCTGTCTCTCCGGCCCACGAGCCCCCTTGCTCTTACTTAGATCCCCCTCTTCCGGTTCGTGGCCTGGATGCCGCGGCCCGCGTCGACCCTCCCCCCCTCCACCCGCAGGAGGTGTCTGTCAGGGACACCATGGTCTATCTGCTTCAGTCCTCCACCCGGAAGATGGTCGGTACGTCCAGGGTGGTGGCCGTCGAATGCCGAGCCCCCTCCCCGGCCCCCCTCGCCTGTTGCCGTGCCTCCGGCTGACGGTTCCTGACCGGCGCCCACGTCTTTCGGCACCACCCGCAGTGGAGGCCTCCTTCACGCCGGCGCCTCCCTCACCGCGGGCGTCGATCGCCCTCGAAGAGCTGAAGGCATCCCTGTCCACCGGCCTGCACAAGCCGACCGGCAATTTGTCGGCACCACACATGAAGGAATCCGCCTCGCCGATGCCCTCGGACAAGCGCTACTTTTCGGAAACCGCCCTGTCTGGCCCCTCGCCGCCGGGGTCCATCGTGTCATCGAGCCAGGAGCCCCTCCCTGGGGACATTGCCCCGGCCAATGACGCGGCCAGCTCGCTGGCTCCGACCAAAACCTCGGGCAAGCTCAAGGCCGAGCTGAATATCTTCGACTTGGTTGGCATCGGTGTCGGGTCGATGATCGGTGCTGGGATTTTCGTTCTCACCGGCGTGGCGGCCAAGAATGCCGCAGGGCCGTCGGTACGTGGCAGCAGCGGTGTCTTCTGGGCCACGCACGCCATGCGGTCTATTTTGCCACCCCTTCGTGCTCGCTCGGCCGTCGGCATGTTTCCCTTTCTGAATTTCTTCTTTTTTCCTACCGCCCCCCCCGCCCCCCCTCCAGGTGGATTGACCCATTGTCGCGGCTCTCCCGGTCCATGCCGCCAGATCACCATCAGTTTCCTGGTGGCGGGTATAGCTTGCCTGCTGAGCGGCTTCTGCTATGCGGAATTCTCCGCCATCTATCCCTTCGCCGGAAGCGCCTACATGTACACCTACTGCAGCCTCGGCGAGCTGCCAGCCCTTCTGGTGGGCTGGGTCCTGTTTCTGGAGGTGCACTCTCGGCCCCTGCCGGGGGCCGTTCTCCCGATGCACGCGTGCTTCCTTTGCCCGCTCGAACTGACCCGTGGGCGGCATACCTGGCCACTGGGGCCCCTGCGTCCTTCCTCCTGCCCACATCCTCTGCCGGCGGCTGCCCAGTACATTGTGGCCGCCTCGGCCGTGGCAAGGGGCTGGTCGCACCATCTTGCGGCCTTCTTGGCCGCCTGCGGGGTCAGCATCCCCACTTGGCTCTACTCGCTGCCCTATAGCGCCGCCTGTGTGGAGGTACGCCATCGCCACCGGCGTCCGGCGGACCAGCCTCCCGTCTGTCCTCTCGACATGGCTGACATTTTGACCCGCTGTAACCGCCTGTGTGACGCCTCTTTCGCATGGCCTGGCCTCGAATTGTGTCCCCCCCCCCCCCCCCCCCCTCCCCGGGTAGGATGGGTGTTCCACGTTTGATGCTTTGGCACTGGGGTCGATCATCGTGGCCACGATAATCTGCTGCTTCGGCACGCAAACCAGTTCCAGGGTCAACATGTTTATCGTGCGTCGGGGTTGAAATGTCGCCTCCCGCCTGACCTCGCCGAGCCCCATTGATGTGATCCATGGGCGGCTCAGGCGCCGGCGCCTCTGACCGGCGTAGTGACCGATTTCCCTCGCCCGCCCTCGCCCGCTCCTCGGCTGGCATCACAGAATGGCCTTTGCGTGGCCATCATTGTGCTGGTCATTGTTGCCGGGGCGGTGTTCGTGGACACGAGCAACTACACGCCCTTCACGCCGTACGGTTTCAGTGGTATCACCAAGGGCGCCGCCATGATCTTCTTTGCGTACATCGGTTTCGACGCGGTCAGCGGCTTGTACGTGTGAGGCGTGATTTTCCTCGGCTCCCCTCGCAGGGGCAGGCCCACGACTGTCCCGGGGCATGCCCACACTACAGGGCGGCCCCCCCCCCCCCCCCATACCCACCATCGGAAGTCTCGCTCACCTACGTATTCCCTCGGGGGATCCTGTGTCATGGTGGGGCTCTTAGTGCCGAGGAATCCCGGCGCCCGGAGCGCGATGTGCCCCTCGCCATCCTAATTGTCATCGGCATCGGGTACGGCCCGGACCGCTGCTCATGATGCCCCCTCTGCTTGTCACCGCTCTCGCACCATGATCCTGACGTCCCTGCCATCGGCCATGGGCCTTGCTCCCCTTCGCCGCGCTGCCATTTCCCCACCCCACCCCAGCGCCGCGCTCTACTGCGGGGTGTCGATCGTCCTGACTGGCATGCAAAGCTACCTGGATCTGGACCTGCATGCACCCCTGGCACGGGCTTTTGCCCACCACAACCAAACCGGCCTGGAGATCACCGTGGCCTTCGGAGCCTTCGTGGCCATGTCCACGACCATCCTCTCGCAGATCCTGACCATGCCGCGGATTTTCTATGCGATGGCCCGCGACGGGCTGCTGGCCCCGGCCAGCCTTGGCCGTGTCCAGTCGAAGTCCGGCGTCCCATTGTACGGGACCCTGGTCAGCGGCGTGCTGGCCTCGATCATGGTGGTGTCCTTCGATCTCGAGACCCTCGGCGACATGGTGTCCATGGGAACGCTCATTGCCTTCAGGTGCGACACATTCCGCGAATGCCAAAGGGCCACGAAAGAAAAGAGCCCGAGTGGCCCCCAACAGACGGAGCAGGGGGGGGGGGGGGGGGGACTTGCCTCCGATCTCCCGACCTGCCCGGGCTCTCTCTCCCCCCGTGGCAGCTGGGCTCACCTCGCCCGCACGGAGATCCCCCTCGCCTGGTCACCGACGAACCGCTGGGTAGCCTCTCCACGCGAGATTCGCTGTTGTGCTGTCTCTTACTGACCTGCCGGAGTTCCCTGTCTCCCACGTCCCTACTGCTCTTCGCCCCCCCCCCCCCTCCTACCATGCGTGCGCACATGCGTAGTGTGGTCAACATTGCCATCATCCTGGTTCGCTACGACGTGCCGGCCAATGGTCGCCGGCCCCAAATCACCGTGGCCTTGCTCACCTTCTGCCTTATCCTGGTGTGCCTGGCCGTGTCGTATGGCTGGCACGGTTCCATTTTCGGCACCTTCGGCTCGGTTGCCATCATCCTGGTTGGCTATTTGTGGTGGCTGGTACGCCCATTGTGCCGGGTGGATGGCCAGTGCTCGGTCGCCACATTCTCCTCCTTGCGCCTCTCCTGGTCCTGACCCCTCGTTCCGGCCCTACTCGCGTGTCCCCTCTCCCTCCCTCTGTCTCTCTCTCTCTCTCTCTCTCTCCCTGTCCCCCCCTTCCTTGGCGCCTGCTTCGCCTGCTGAGCCAGCCCCAGGCAGCTCCTGCCGTGTCGATGCGCACCGGGCGCCGGATCTTCCAAACCCCCCTGGTGCCATTCATCCCGGCCGCGGCCCTCGGAGTGCACATTTACCTGATTGTCGAGCTCGGGCCGGAGTCCTGGATGCGCATGGGAATCTGGGTGGCCATTGGGGTGGCTTTCTGGGTGTTCTACGGGGCTTGGCACAGCAAGCTCCGCGTCCGTCCCCAAGGGACCGGCCATCCGAATAAGGCCTCGGACATTTCGCTGGCCTCGGCCGTGGGTGCGGATGGCGACGAGCGGCCCGGCCGAGCCAGCGCCTCCGCAGCTGAGGCCGCTGCCGCCATCTCTTGCTCATCGGCATCCACAAGCACTCTCAGCCTGTCGGAGGACGCGGGAGAGGGGTCATCCCCCGAGGCAGCGGTGGCCGAGGCGACAACGACAACGCCGGCAACAGCCGCGGCGGCTGCCACGGGGACCTAATAGTCCAGGTTTGTCCGTGACCCGGCCCCCGGCGAGGGGCGGCCGGCACAGCGCCCCATTGGCCGGGGGGGAAAAAAGGCCCCCTCGCCGAAGATCGTCGACCGGGGGGGGGGGGGGGGGGGGGGGCCGACCACGTTGGTTCCCTCCCCGGAAGCCGTCTTCCCCCCCCCCCGATGCAGCCCCCCTCGTTTTTCCAATACCCCCCCCCCCCCCCCCCCCCCTGCCTCCCTTCCCCGGCCGTGTCCTGGTTGAGTTGTGTGGTGGACACGCGAGAGGGGGGGCTCCCAGGGGAGGAGGAACAGCACAGGCCGGATCTCGCGGCCGATCTCGATCGCATGCAAATGCCAACGCTCGGGCTGGCCGCAGCTATAACCGGCCCCGGGAAGTTGGCCGGGGATCGCGTCTCGCGAGATTCTCCCCCTTTTCCACCCCACAAAGACACCCTCTCCCCTAGACTCCACTCCTGGCCGCCTCCCGCCTCCCGCCTCCCGCCTCCCGCCTCCCGCCTCCCGCCTCCCGCCTCCCGCCCCTCAATCTGGCCTCCCGGTAGGCTCCTTCCTCCACCATCCGTCCCCCCTGTACATGGAGGCGCAGGTTCTCCACGAGCCGCTGCCCCCGCGACCTGGGGGCCCGGTCGCTTTGGTCGGTCATGGCTATGGACCCGGTTCCGGTCCCGGGCTGGACGCCGCCATGTCCCCGGTGGTGACCATTCGCCCGTTCGACCCGGCGGTGGCCACAGCCTTCCCTCAGCTCCCCGGGGCTTCTCCCTTCCATGGTATTGCCCCTGGTGGACCCGGCACGGATGCCTTCGGCCCCGGGGCAGGGCTCCTGCATTTTGGAGACCTCTCCGGGCTGCTGACCCCCGGAGGGCCCGGCTTTCCCGGCGGGACGACCAATGCCGGGGACGTGACGTCCCCCTCGCCGGCCACCCCATCCAGCACCAGCATCAGCACCAACACCAGCACCAATTTCAGTGTCAACATCAATGTCACGACCGCCACAACGGCCACCACCATATCCTCTTCGGCCAACCCCCCCTCGGGTGCTTCGATGTCCTCCTCTTTGACCACCGTCGCCGGGGCCGGCTCCTCCTCCTCCTCCTCCTCCTCCTCGTCGACTCACGGGCCGGGGGTCTCCCTGCCCGGGCAGTTTGGTCCTGGCAGCCGCGATCCGACCGCCGGCTTCCACTTCCCGCTGGATGGACCGGTGGGGGATCTGGACGCGCGAGGTTCCGCCTCCTCGGCCCGTGGACTCGGTGTTGCTGGTCATGGCAGCGGCGCCGGCGGGAACAGGGCCAGTGCTGGTGCCCTCGGCGCCGGTGGCAATCCCATCGCCGGTGCAGGCTCCAGCACCAGGAACACCGGGACCGGCGGCGGTGCGGCTCCCCTGCGACCCTATGGAGGCGAGCATGGCGTTGGGGCCAACGCTGTTGGCACCACCACCGCCGCCACCGCCACCGCCGCCGCCACCACCACCCCCGCCACAGGCACTGGCGGCACCGGCGGCGGTGACACCAATCCCGGTGGTGGTGGTGGTGGTGGTGGTGGTGGTGGTGGCGGCGGCGGCGGCGGCGGCGGCGGCGGTGGTGGCAGCAGCCTCGGATCCGCTGTCATGAACTCGGGACAGCAGGATCTCGGTCAGCGACTTGTCCTCTGGGTCCACGATACGGCGGCCATGGCGGATCCCGCCTCGCAGGCTCCCCTCCTGTCGGGCCCGGCTCATTCCATGGTTCCGTCCACCGGTGGACCCGGGGGCCACTTGTCTACCTCCGCCTCGGCGGTTTCCTTCTTCTCGGCAAGTGGGGCCGTGTATGGCAGCCGGTCTGGGGATCTGCCCGGGGCTTCGGCCTATTCGCATCCGCTGCAGCATGGTCCCCCTCGAACAGGGATCCCCCCGGGCGGCTCGGCCTCGGCATCAACCGGGGTTCCATCACTTGGCCCATCTTTGGCCTCCTCGCCGTCGGCCGGCTCTGGCGGCCCAGCCTCGCCAGCACACAATCCCAGTTCACCCTCCTTCCAATCCCGGGGCGCAGCCTCCATGGACAAGCCTGCTTCATCTGCTGGTGTGTTTGTCCCCCCCCTCCCCTCCCCTTCCTGTGTCCCTTCTCTGCCGTGTGTTTGTCCCTCCTTCTCCTCTCTTGCCCCCCTGGACTGGTACCGGCTTTGCTTTTCTAACTCCCCGCCACCAATAGTCACCCCCACTGCCGATGGTGTGGGTGAAGATCCGGCCGCCGGGTCAGTCCCACCCGGGGCCATACTTTCCTCGCTCGGTGGCGCCGGCCTCCCCGGCGGCGGGCTCACGTCGCAGGAGCACAGCTCGGCATCGCTCGTGCTGTCGGGGCCCGGCGCAACTCCCCAGCACCTTCTGCCACACCAGCACCTCCTTTCCCAGGGGTCGCCGGGATTCGGCCTCTCCGCAGGGTCTTCCATCAGTGCCAGCTCCTCCTCTGCGGCATTGGTCACGACACATGCCGGGAGCTCGGTGGCGGCGGCCAGCCCCGGGGGTGGCACCATTGCCGCCCAGGGAGCCACGCCTGGTGCCGCCGGCACCGCCACCACTACCATTGCCACCAGCACCAGCACCACCACCGCCACCACTACCACCACCACCACCACCACCACCACTAGCACCACTAGCACCACTAGCACCACCAACAGCACCAACACCAACAGCACCAACAGCACCAACACCCACACCCACACCCACACCAACAACACAAGCACCACCACCACCGCCACCGGTGCTCCTCTGTCCGCGCTCGGGGCCTCCAGTCAGTCTGGCACCATAAGCAACATCCCTTCGGCGTCTGGTTCCGCGCCTCCTGTGCCGGAGCTGATTGTCAACCTGGATTTCTTCCCGGGCATCCGCGTCGGTGATCTGCTGGCCATCACGCAGGTAATCCACCCGACCGGAGCCAGCGCCACTGGCGGCTCGAGCGGCGGTGGCAGCGGCGGCGGCGGCGGCAGCAGCAGCGGCGGCAGCGGCGGCGGCGTCAGCGGCGGCGGCAGTAGTGGCGCTGGAGGCGGCGGCGGCGTCAGCGGCGGTGGCAGTGGTGGTGGCGGCAGCGGCACCAATGCCCCCGGGGCTGGTAGTGGCACTGGCGGCGGCGGCGGCGGCGGCGGCGGCGGCGGCGGTAGCGCAGGTGGTCCCAGCGCTGCGGGTACTGCCGGCACCAGTGGCACAGGCGCTGCCGCCAATGTGTCGGCCACCTCCTCGTCCAGTACTTCCCCCTCGTCCAAGGCGCCGTCCATGCCTCCGGTCGGCGTGCTGGCCTCCTCGCCGACTTCCTCCTCCTCCTCCTCACCTGGCGGACCGGTTGGCCAATTTGGTGGGTCTCTCAGCTCCAGCAGCTCCATCGGCAGCTTGAGCACGCATGCCGGCGGTCCGGCGCCAATGATCGGCTCGGGTGCGTGTGCTCCTTCCCCCTGGCGGGGCGGCATTCCCTTTTGGCGTTGTTGCACGGCCCCGGCTAACTTGTTCGCCAGTTCCGCGCCTTCACCCGAGTGGAGCCTCGCTCCTGGGCAACAGCACTGTCCCCGGTGGCGTGCCGGAAGGTGCCACATCTTCCTCGGTCGGCTCGGCTGTTCGCTTCTCCGCACACGGCGACTCGCCGGCCGGCCAAACGGCCGATGCGGATGCGGCCGCTGCCTCCGGTGTGTCTTCTCGGTTTGCCTCCCTTTCCGCTTCCTCCCCCTCCTTTGATGCCAGTTTCTCTGACCTCCTGCCAAAGCCGCCCGTCCCGATATCAAGCGCATTGTGGTCAAGGTGTCGGCCCTATCCTCTTCCAAGTATCCCCAGTTGCAGATCAGCCTGCAAAAGCACATCGCCGAGCTCTTCGGCTTCCATCAGCGCCAATATTGCTACGTGACAAAGGTGCAATGATGTGTGCATTTTTGGCGCCGGCCGCCCCTTGTTACGCGCGTTTGGCTGACTGACCGGCCTTTTCCCCGTTTCCGCCGCCGCCGCCCCCCCCCCCCCTTCCTCGTTGGCCGCCCCTTCCCGGCTCCTGACACCCAGGTGAGCCCGGGCTCTGTGGGGCTTGGCTTTGTCCAGGTGAATTTCAAGGAGCAGGTGCGTGCCTGGTAGGCTGCTCCCTTTGCCCCCTCGCGTCCGCCATGCTGACAGCCAGATATTCCACCTGCTCCCTGTGCTGCCATGCAGTACCTTTCTCGAAGCGACATGTGGCGTCTGAAAAACAGCCTCATCGGCGAAACCCTCTACGTGGGAAAGAAGATCACTTTCCTGGGCATGCGTGGCCAGGTCCGTCGTCGTCATCGTCGTTGTCGTGCCCCTGCCCACTGCCATCTCCTCAGCAGGCCGACCGGTCAAACTCACTCCTTCATGCTTGTCATTTTTCCCGGGGCACATTGGGGGGACAGATCAAGCAGCTGTACATCGGCCCTCAGCCCTCGCTGTATGGCTACTTTGGTCCGCAAACCAAGTGCGTGTACCGTTCGGAATCGGCGCGCTTCGTCATTTTCATCCAGATGTCCCAGGAAATGTGGACCTTCGACGAGGAGGACAGCGAGCTCTTCTTCGAGAAGGCCGTTCAAGGTGTGTCGCGCCCGCGGGGCCTGCCCGCACCGACCCCCCGCCCCCCGCCCCCCGCCCCCCCCCCTTCATGCGCCCGTCCTTCTTCATTCCGTGTGCCCTGTTGCTGGTGGGCTTTTTCGTGCCCATGCTCCCGCTGTGACTCTGACCATTTTCATGCTTGAAAGGTTTCCTGCCTGAGCTATTTTCCCGCTGGTCCCAGCGTGGCGTCAATCACCTGGTGTCGATTGTGCTATTCTCGCGGCACTTCTATTCGGACGTCGGCTCCACCACCGGGCCCGGGCGCATTAACACCGATTTCCGGTGTGTTTCTTCTCCTTCTTCTGCTCATCTCTTCCGTCTGCCATGCTCTCCCCCCCTCCCCCCCTCCCGTCTCTCTCTCTCTCTCTTGCCCCGCTTGTCCGTGCCCGGTCTCACCCAGTAGCACATCCCTAACCCGCTCAAATCCCTCTCCTCCCCCCCCCGCCCTCGACTGTTGGCGCGCCAGTGGGCGCCCCTATCGCGACTTCTACAAGTGCGTGGTCGAATGGGAAACCCGGTCGGACTGGGTGCCGGTGTTGCGGTCCCTGCGTTCGGAGCTGAGCCGGTACCCGCGGGACATTCGTGCCTGGGAGCGAGCCAATGGCCACGCCGAGGGCACATTCGGTCAAATCAGCCACTCGTACGAGGGAAATATCCTGGAGGCCATGAACATGGCGCAAAATATCCTGGAGAAGGCCTTTGTCAACCGGGACTTCAACCGCACCGGGCTCTCGATCGTCATCATCACCCCGGGCACCGGGATCTTCGATGTGAACCACAGCACCTTCAAGCTGGCCAAGGTACATCGCCCCAGCGCCCCCCCCCCCCCCCCCCCCCCCCCCCCCCCCCCCCCCCACCCCCACCACCCCCACCGCCCCCCCTCCCCTCTCTCGGTCTTGGCCCGTCCCCCCTGTGGGCCAGCTCCACTGATGGAGTCAACTTCCCCATTCGCTCCATGTATCACCCCGGTCGGCGGAGTGGATCTAGTTGGTCAAATGCCCCGGATACGGTCAACTCGTCGATCTACGTCTCGGACAGCGGGATGGTTTGACGTGCGGTGGCATCTCCTCCGCCTGCTAACGTCGCATGCATGTGCGCACATCTGTATGCATGTGTGTGTGTGTGTGTTTGTATGCTCCCAGTATGCCCCATCCGACCATGCGCGAAAACGATGGGTCGATCTATTCAACGTGCGATCACCACCCTTTATTGTTCCCCCCCCCCCCCCCCCCCCCCCCCCATCTCTCCAATGGTCGGCATTCCTGCCTTTCGGTGTCCGGCTCCCCGCCCCCTAGGATCGCCTGCTTCTGCAATGCTCTAATCTTCCCCCGTCCGCCTCCTCCGCCTCCTTCCCCCGCGCTGCTATTCTTCCCTTTCCCTTTCCGTGGTCTAGCACCGCATGATCGACAATGGCATCAGCTGTGATATTGTCTGCCTGGGCCGGCCGCCCTTGCATGCGGTGCCACTCTTCCGGTTCTCCCATCCCCCGGGGGAGGCCGCCTCCCCGGAGCCGGAGGCCGCGGCGCCGCTGGCCGAGACTGCCGGCACCCGGCTCCCCCGGGCACGGGCCACTCCGCATGGGGGCCGTCCGCCTGGCAGCACCCATGCCTCTGTGTCGCCGGAGAGCGCCGCCCCCCTGCGGGCCCTGGCTTCGGCCGCAGCCCCGGCCGCAACCCAATCGGCCGACATGGGCAGCTCGGTCGCCGGCCGTGTGCGCAATGTGTCCCCCATGTCACTGGCCCATTGGATTGATGTCAGTTACTTCTCCCGGCCACGGTGGGAAATTTCCCGCCCACTCCGGCCGGTTCGCTTCACCCCGCGCTGCAACATGCCCGGTGCGCAGCACGCCTCGTCCATGAGCTTCTCATCCAAAGTACGTGCCCGGCCGCGGGATTTGGTGCTTTCACACCGGCAAGTCCCGCTCGCTGATCCATTGACTCCTCCTGTCACAGACTCTGGCCACGCCGCATGTTGCCTTCTCCACCGCGGCCAAGGGCAGCCTCCTGCTGGGCGGCCCGGCCGGCGGCAGCCTCTCCTCCACCCAATCCGGCCAGATGTTCCTCCACGACTTGGCCATCTTCGATGAGCTCCCTCAAGGGCCAAGCATCATGGCTCCGCGTGCTCGTTCGGCCTTCCCCGGTGTGCGTGGTCCCGTGTGGCCGCTGGCCATCTCCCTCTTTTCCCCCCTCGAGCCGACACCCACTGACCATCTTTGCCGGCTGTTCCCCCCCCCCCCCCCCCCCCCCCTGCGTCCTTCTTCCTTTGGGTCACTACCAGCAGCAGACTCTGGCCACCGGGGCCTTCCGGCAAAACCGCCGCTCGCCCTTCGACCAGCCTGGCGACTTGCTGCTGCCCTATCCCCTTCCCTTTTCCGGTCAGTCAGACCCGGTCTTTGGCATGGCTGGCCCCGGCGGCATGTTTGGACTGACCGGCCTCCCCGGGATGCCGTCGCTCCAGGGCATGCCGTCGCTCCAGGGGATGCCGTCGCTCCAGGGCATGCCCGCCTTCCCGGGGATGACTCCCTTCACCGGCATCGGGCCCCTCCCGCCGCTTCCCAGCCTCCCTGGCGCACCGGGCTTCCCAGGGCTGCAGGCCCTGCCAGGCATGCCGGGAATGCCGGGAATGCCGGCTCTCCCTCCGCTGCCCGGGTTCTCCCCCATGCAAGCCCCCGGCATTGGGCCATTCCCCCCGCTGGGCCTCTTGCCGAATGGCTTCCCGGCCGCGGGCCTGCCCCCAGGAGACCTCCTTTCGCCTCCCTTTCCCGGCGCCCTGCCTGGACTGCTGCCGCCGCTGTTGGCCCCCGGCGCCGATTTCATGGCCACCCTGGTCACCGATCCGGCGGAGGGAGCATGCCCCCTGCCACTGCCGCATCCGCCACCGCTACTACCACCCCCGCCGCCAATGCCGTCGGCGGAAAAGATGCCCTTCCCGGGCGTGGCGCCGTCCACGGCCGGCGGAGATGCCCTCCCCCCGCGTCCCGGGCCCGCCATGTCGCCGGACAGCTTGCCCCAGCTGTCGACCTCGGCCTCGGGGCAAAAGAGCGGGCCTCATACCCCCCGGGCCGTGGCCATCGATGCCCCGGCCGATCCCAGTCCCCTCCTTCTGGCTGGGTCCCCGCCGCGTCTCTCCACCTCGGCCTCTTCGACCAGCACCGTCGGTGCACCGGGCACGGGGCCCTCTTCGGCCACGGGAACCCCGAGTCGCAGCCGCAAGGTCCTGACCTTCCTGGGGGATGTCTTCGGCCGCCAGCGGTCCCCGAGCTCCGGCTCAGCAACGTCCGACCTCCCGGCCAAAGGACCCGCCGACCAGTTGCCGGCCCCGCCGGCCAGTGGGCCTGGCCAGGACCAAGTCCAGCTGGCCGACGCGACTGCTGCTCCTGCAAGCGCCGCCGCCGATTCCGCGCGACCCATTGGCTCGGCCGGCATTCCGATGATTGTGGCCACCCCGGGGACCCCCACGTCAGGCCCTCTCCTTTCGGCCTCGGTGAGCACGATTTCTTCCTCGCTGCTGCCAGGTGGCCCGACTTCACGTCTGGTGGATGACATGGACTCCGGCGGCCGGGTCAGCGCCTCATTGGCGGACGTCACGGCCGCCGCCCAGTCCGCCGGGTCCCTGCCGCAGGGGAGCTGGGTCTCGGCTTCGGCCATGCCAATCCGCGTTGGATCCCCCTCGGTGGCCGGAGCACGCGCCACCGGCGGAGCCCTGCACATGGCCACTTCCTTTGGGTCGCTTGGTCGCGGATCGATGCCGCGTGCCGGGCCCCCGGTCTCCGGGTCGCCCTTGCGGTCGCCGGGTCTCCCGTCTGTGGATGCCTCGTCCCAGGCCGGGAGCCTGCTTTTCCTGCCCCAGGCAGTGCCTGGCATCCAGCCCGCCGGGTCAGGCATCGGCCTGTCCCCTTTGCCGCCTGTCCCGCCGGGGACGACGCCCCTGTCGGGGCTGGCATCCGGCGGCCTCCCCGCGTCGCCCTTGCTGGCGGCTGCTGCTGCGCCAGCGGCCTCTCGGCCGTCAGGCTTCTCGGGACCGGGCGCGATGGCTCCCTCTCCGCAGGGTGAAACCCCGGCTCCCGGTGTTGGAACGGCCGGCCTTCGGTCGGTCCCCATCCCCGGGGACTACTTCGCCCCTGACGGGACGGACCCCGCGTCGTGGGCCAGGGAGACCAGTGTCCTGGCGCCGCAGGCCGCCGTTGCGGGAGGTGGTGCCGGTGCCGCCGCCGCCGCCGCTGCCGCCGCCGCCGCCGCCGCCGTCGCTGCCACCACCACCACCACCACCGGCACCACCGGCACCACCGGCACCTACCCTCGCCTCGAGATGCATGATGATAGTCCGGTACGCTTGTGCCCGCCCTTGCCCGGGCTCCTGTTCCCTGTCGCCCCCATGCATGGGTCGTGTCTAACTGGCTGAAATCATAGCCCCTCGCATCGGCGCACCGGCACCCCTGCCGGCGGGCCATGTCGGCGACCGCGCGCAGTACGGCACACCGATGGCCGTGACTGCCTGGTCGCTGGATGTGGTGATGCTTCGCCGGCGCCGGGCCGCCCATGGGCAGTCGCCTCAGCTGTTGGATTTCCCGACCTTCTCGGCGCCCAGCTTCGGCGGGGCCTTCGACCACCACTCGGCCCCCACGGTGGGCGAGCTTCCTCCCCGGGGGGCGGCCCCGGTCCCCTCGGGATTCGGGGCGCAAGGTATGGACTTCTTTTCCAGTGGGGCGCTTCTGTCGCCGCTGGGCTCCGGCATCCCGGGGCTCGGGGGAACCCTGCCGACATTGTCCGGGCCCGGTGGGCTGCCCAGCCTTGGCGGAGCCCCGCCACTCGGCCCGAGCAGCAACTCCTTTGGCTCGGCCCCGCTTCCGGCCCTGTCGGCCACTCCGCCAGGGTCCGGCTCGGCCGATGTTCCCCGACACACGGTGCGTTTGCGCCACTGTCTCCCAGGGCTTCACGTCACCACACGCCATTCCGCTCCCCCCCCCCCCCC